TGGTACAATCGTGGCTCACTGCAACCTCCGCCTCCCAGGTTCAAGCCATTCTCCTGCCTCAGCCTCTCGAGTAGCTGGGATTACAGGCGCCTGCCACCACGCCTGGCTAATTTTTTTGTATTTTTAATAGAGACAGGGTTTCACCATGTTAGTCAGGCTGGTTTCGAATTCCTGACCTCAAATGATCCACCCGCCTCAGCCTCCCAAAGTGCTAGGATTACAGGTATGAGACATTGTGCCCGGCCTACAGTGAATCTTTAACTTTACACACCATCACTTTAGATCTATAAATCGATATATAGTGGTATCTCATTGTGGGTTTAATTTACATTTGCCTAGTGAATGGATCCCAGAACAGGAGAAAACTTGGGCAGACTGGGATGGAAGCTGGAAGTAGAGGCATTCGTGGTGGATAAGGATGCTGTATGGAGTCTCTGGCAAGCCTCAGTTTTTATGATGTTCGGCATCTTTTTATGTGCTTGTCATCTGTATTTTTCCTTTGGTGAAATGTCTGTTCAATTATTTTGCCCATTTAAAAAATTGGGCTGTTTTATGAGTTTTGAGAGCTCTTTATGTAATCTGGATATAAATTCTTTGATACATCATTTGCAAATATTTTCTCCAATCTTGTGGTTTGTCTTTTCATTTATTTTTTTCTAAAAATGGAACAAGTTCCAAATTTTTAATCTGGACAAAGAGAATTAAAACCAAGCATATCATACTTCCAAAACACATATCCATCGGCGAGTCAGCAAATCTGGGGAAAAGCAACTGGAATTGACTATGAGGCTGCTGGAATTAATCTTCATCGTCTCATTGCAAAGGTACTACCTGAATTCCTTTGGCTATCCTTTCTATTAATATTATTTGCAGCAATTACTCTTAGTGACATCAAATCAAATGATCCACCTGTAACATCCATTAGCATGCCACCAGCTTCAGTAACAATAATGCTAACTCCTGCAAGAGCCCAGCAGTGAATTCCCATTGCATAATATGCATCTGCTCCTCCAGTTGCCACAAGGCAAACAGCTGCCGTTCCAATACTCCGGATCCCATGAACAGGAATGCAAAAAAACTTTTCCATGTTAGAAAGAACAATTCTTACAGTCTCTGGTGTTCTGGAAGAGCCCAATTCAGTCACCAAGAGTGGTTTGGTAATATCTTTTTGTTGTGAAACCTGTAGTTTTTGACCATTACAAAAGGCATCTTTTTCTTTCCTGGAAGTGTACATCTTATCTCCCGCATAACTGTATACAACTCCAAATTATATCTTTTTATTTACAGCAAAGCCGATTGAAACAGCTACAAAAGGAAATCTATGTACAAAGTTAGTTGTTCCATCAATAGGGTCAATGATCCACGTGGGGTTGTTAGTTAAGGCACTTTTCTCCCCGCTGCCACAGATTCCTCACCAATGAAACTGAGATGGGTACTTTTCTTTTACAGAAGAGATAAGCGTTTCTTCAACTTTTTGGTCTGTAGCAGTTACCAAATCAACTGGAGAACCTTTCGGTATAACATTCATTTCATTTCTTTTTTTTTTTTTCTCCTGGATTAAAAAAAAAAAAAAAAAATTAGCCCAGGCAGTGGCCGGCAGAAGGCTGAGGCACGATAATCGCTTAAACCCACTTACTAGGAAGGTGGAGGTTGCATGGAACCGAGATCACGCCACTGCACTCCAGCCTGGATGACAGAGCAAGACCTCCATCTGGGGAAAAAAAAAAAAAAGATACTAGCCTGGGCAACACTGGCAAAAACCCGTCTCTATAAAAAATGACCAGGCCACTTGCCTGTAGTCCCAGCCACTTTGGGAGGCTGAGATGGGAGGATCACCTGAAGCCAAAAAGGCTGAGGCTGCAGTGAGCCTGAGACTGCACCACTGCCACTCCAGCCTGACTGACAAAAGAGAGACCCGTGTCTCAATAAATTAAAATTTAAAAAGAAAGTATAGTATTGGTCGTCCCAGATGGACGAAATAGATCATGCACGCAGAAAAAGAGTTCCGATATGTGGCAATTAAGTTTTTGGACAAAAATGAAAGCGCAATTAGTGGAGAAAGGGATATGCCTTTGCGCCAGGGCCGGATGGCTCACGCCTGGGTAATCGTCAGCGCTGTTGGAGAGGCTGAAAAGGTGGTGGATCCCCTTGAGGTAAGGAGTTACAGACCAGCGCAACCCAGCGCCGCCCCCCCCCCCCCGCAAAAATGTATTTATCATAATGTGTGTGGAAACTTGGAAAAACAAGAAAAGATGGTGTCTTCAACAAATGTTGCAGTGTATAATTGGATATCCACACACTCTCCAAACAAAAACAACAAAAAAAACCCATATTGCAAAAATTAACCTAGAATGAATCATAGATCTAGTTGTGAACCTAAACTATAAAACTTAGAAAAACTGGGGGTCGCGGGCCGGGCGCGGTGGCTCAGCCCTGATATCCAGCACTTTGGGGAGGCCGAGACGGGCGGATCCACGAGATCAGGAGAATCGAGGATCCATCCTGCCTAACACGGGTGAAACCCCGTCTCTACTACAAAATACAAAAAACTAGCCCGGGCAGCAAGGTGGCAGGGCACCTGTAGTCCCAGGCTCCCGGGAGGCTGAGGCCGGAGAAATGGCGTGAACCCAGGAGGCGGAGCTTGCAGTGAGCTGAGATCCGGCCACTGCACTCCAGCCTGGGGCGGCAGAGCGAGACTCCGCCTCAAAAAAAAAAAAAAAAAAGAAAACTGGGGTCGGGCGTGGTGGCCAGCCTGGCAACATGGCGGCAACCCCCTCTCTACTAAAAATACAAAAATTGGCCAGGCACAGTGGCTCACGCCTGTAATCCCAGCCACTTTGGGAGGCCAAGGTGGGGGATCACCTGAGGTTGGGAGCTTGAGACCAGCCTGACCAACATGGAGAAACCCATCTCTAATAAAAATACAAATTAGTCGGGCATGGTGGCACATACCTGTAATCCCAGTACTTGAGAGGCTGAGAGGCAGGAGAATCGCTTGACCAGGAGGTGGAGGTTGTGGTGAGCCAAGATCACACCATTGCACTCCAGTAAGGGCAACGGAGGGAAACTCCGTTCTGGAAATTAAAACAAACAAACAAAAAACAGAATGAAAAGAAGATAGGTAGCCCTCTACCTCCGCAAGAGCTAAGAGTGATAACACCAGGCACTGACT